CCTTTCCTGCCTGGAGAAGGATCCTAAGATTAACAGCAATGAATCCATTTAGGCACTAGCGGTTAACCAGGGTAACAGTCCACACTCCTTCCTCCGTGGTATTAGCTCCCTGACACAGGTTTGGCGGGACAGTCCAAGAGAAAACCAGAGGGCAAGGCAGACCCATGCCTCATCCATCTGTCTGCCCCCCAGTGCTAGGGTCTGCACAACCTGCTGCACAAAGTGAGCACTAAACAAGATATGCTGAACGTTAAGAAAACAATATATATGCATTTAGGGAGAGACCTACAAAATTCCAGAAGATAGCACGCAAGTTCTCTAACTCCTGAACATCCCAAAGAAACAGAGCCTAGTGGCACTCTATGTCCAAAAGCTTCTGCGTGCCCTTTAAAAACCCAATCTATAGCTCAATTTTCTCATCTGAACAATGAGGACAAGAGCACCTAACTCATAGGGTTTTGAAAGGATTGAAGAAATTGGTTAATAGGTGAAGTCCTGAGATCACTGCCTGGAGCACTACACACTACACAAGGGTTAGCCATTGATATTACTGAAAAACTCTAGTACAGTAAAAGTCAGGCCCACGCAGCTCAAAAAGAGGCCAAAAGCTTAAGAGAAATTCTTCTAGAAAAGCTAAGATCACAGGTTGGCAAACTTTTCCTGTAAAGGGCCAAACACTACTGTAAACATTGTTGGCTCTTCAAGCCAAGAAGCACTATCCTTAGTGCAATTATTCTCCCTGAAAGACTAATACAGGTTTTGTTTTCAATTTGTTTACATTTTACATTTTAAAATTTGAGAACCATTCTTAGTATGTGGGGGCCATAAAAAAACAGGCTGGATTTGGACCCAGGGCCACAGTTGGCCGACCCGCGGACCAGATTATTATGGTAACCCAAGTCAGTGCTTTCCAAAGGCCACAGAAGGAAATGTCTGTGAGTTGATGAAAAGTAGCTGGAAAAAAGTGCTACCCTCAAACTTCTCAAATCCACACTGGCGGGGCGGGCGTGATGGGGAATGGGGCGAGGACCCGGAGTCGGGCCTCCGGAGCCGGCCAGGGCCTCGCGGCTCTCCGGGGCCGGCCGAGCCCTGCCACACTTACTCCCAGCAGCGGCCCGCGGCCGATCACCGTCTCCCCGGGCGCCAGGGCCACCCGGGGGCCGCCGTCCTGCGGCTGCAGCTCGAAGCCCCTGGACATGGCGACGAGGATGAGACCCCTTCGCAAGGAGACGGATCCCGCAGCCGCTTCAGCCTTCCATGGACAGCCGAGGGGCCTAAGCAGGCCCCGGGAAAACACAGGGGGAGAGGGGACAAAGCCTGCGCCCTGGCGTGTCCTGTCTGCGCGCAGCTTGGACCCCCGCGCGGGATACCGAGTCCCGCCTCTCCACCCGGACCAGGGACGCACTCGGGGGTTCCTACTTCACGCCGCCTCCAAACTATTGTTTAAAAGCCCCGGTTAAACACCCCCAGCCGTTCTCACCGCCCACACGGCTCGGAGGACGCCGGACCTTGTAGTTCGGCGCGCCCCACTTCCTCAGGGTTGCTGAGCTGAGACGCCCTTGGAAAACTACCCGTCCCAAGAGGCAACGCGCGCTCCTCTCTGCGCCTGTGCGAAATCGAGTCGGCAAGGCAGAGCTAGAGTGGGCGGGACTTGAGGGACTACGGGGAAGTATTCGAATTCGGCGAATTTAAATCGCGGAAGGAGTGGTCGCTGCGGCCCAGTAGGTAGGGGAGGGTCTTCCCTTCCGGCTGACGTATGGCGGTCGTGCTTCGGGGCGCGGCCCTGGCGTTGGCGCAGCCTCCCTCGGCGGCCGGGAGCTGCGGTGACAGTCGGTGCTGACGGTTGTTTCCGTTGTTTACCTGTCAGTGCAGTGTTCCTTGGACTCCAGCAGCTGCCGCCAGCGCGGGGCACGCCAGGAGAGTGGCTCAGATGGGACGTGGGGCCGTTCCTTCCGACCTGCGCGGTCTACATGGGGTGGGGGCTCCCCGAGAGCCGGGCGTCGGCTCGGGATCCGAAGATCCCTCTCTTTGTGTGACACCTGAAACAGGGGTGAGCGCTCACCCACATAGAGAGGTAATTCAGCAAAGTTTGGTCCATAAAGAAGGGGATAGCTTTCTAGGCATCCAGGCAAAACTGGACCTGGAAGAAGAAAAATGCCTAGTGGGATTTTGGGAACCTCACCAAGTCACCCCCGAGTGTTAAATGAAAAAGCCTTCATCTGCCTCCTGTGAAATGACTAGCGGGAGCACACACTTTATTCCCACTGAGCTCCTGGAAGAAGTACACATGTGCATTTAAATGCACAGTAACTCCTATTTTCAAGAATAGAGTAGTTTGGCTTTGGTTTGTATTGCTGGGGGTGGAGGGGGTGGGGACGGAGCTGGTGGCAAAAACTTGATTTTACCAGTTTGCTTTCTTACTTCCCCAAGCTGTCAAGGGGAAGTTCTCTGTCGAACACAGTCATTAAAATTCTAACCACCGTAACTAAGTTGGATCACAAACAACCAAATGAATGGAAGCGTCTGTGGTCTGGGAAAGTCCAGAAACATATAGGTGAGTAGCACACCTGGAAAGAGGGATATGTCACTAGCTCAGCTGAAATAAGTATTTAGCTGTTTCTGAAACCCCTCCTGCACCGCCACCCCTCGTTATAAAAAGAAGTGCAAAATGGAATCAACTGATTTTAAGTAAACAGAACTGTCTTCACATGCAAAAATAGCTCCATTCTTTCAACTGATTTCAGAATGTACCTTCGGTAAATTAGCTGAAACTGAACTTAAAGCTTTAGTCACATACTATATCTAGCTGAGTTATAAACATTATTTATAGTTCTTAGTCACTGTTGCTTATTGGCCTCGTGACTGTTATCTTAGTTTATGATTAACTTAGATTATAATTAACTATGCATGTATGCATGCATATATATGTATGTTGAAGAAGCTGTTTCTAAAATATTAATCTTACAACTAATTGACTATTGGAGACTTCATGTCATTATAACCCAGACCTCAACCTCTTCTACATTCCAGATAGGATCTAGAGTCTGATCTAAAGAGAGTGAGTGTTTTTAATCTTTGCCTTTTAGGCTACATATGACGATAATTTACTAAAACATCAAGCTATGAAGAAAAACTCCAAGAGGAACAACAATTCAAGAGTTTCTAACATAGAATCGAACTCTGTGGATACTGAGAAGGGAAAAAAGAGAGTCAGAATAACTTTGTGGATCTGCTGCCTCCAGAAGTTACTTTTAAAATTTTCAGTCAGCTGGACGTCCAGAGTTTGTGCAGGGCTTCGATGACTTGCAGGAGCTGGAATCATGTAATAAGAAACAACGACTCCTTATGGAAACCTCACTGCCTGACTCTGAGAGCCGTGTGCCAAAGAGAGATCGATGATGATGTAGAAAGTGGTTATCCTTGGAGGGTAAGTTTAATCCTCGTCGTCTGCAGTGTTTTTTGACAACATGGTGGCAGTTTTGAACCCACTCCACCCTCTGCTCGGAGGAGGGAGCATCGCATACAGAGTGACGTACAGAGTGTGTTGGCTTTGGGGGTTAAAGTTGAATTATTATTCTTTTCCTGCAAGTCACACGCTGTCTCGTCCATCCTTTTCCATTTTTTAAAATCCTAAATTTAGGCATGCACCTCTGTTAACCACAAGGGAAGTGGCTGCTTCATTTCACTCCACCTTATCCAGACCCCCACCGAACTCTGGCTCACTCCGTGATACATGCACAGACACACACACACTTACTGGTATATGTGTATATCAATGTCAATATGTAATCTTTTCAGCCCTGTCAATCACATTCTCTAGTTTCAGACAAACTCACCCACCAACCACCTACTACGTTCTTTGACAATGCTGGTTTACCTCTTTCAGGTAATACTCCTGAGGAATTACCAGAAGAGTAAAGTGAAACATGACTGGCTAAGTGGCAGATACAGCAACATATGTTCTCCTGTTAGCCTACCAGAAAAAATCATGTACCCGATGGATGCGGACACATGGGGGGAAATTCTAGAAGCAGAAATGGAAAGATAAGCAGAAAAATCACACACAGATCTCCTAACTTTGAGAGTTTAAAAGCAAAATGACTCTTGAGGTTGTGAAAGGTGTATCTTTAACCGTCCACTTTTTGGTTTGCCTTTTTACTACTTGGCATTTAAAAGAAAACTAAGTAGAAAATGTAAAAATTAAGCTTTGTTTTTATTGTATGCTTTAGCAAAAAAAATGTTTCTGGTTTAATTGTAATGTGGAAAAATCATGAAATATTGTTTATACTGTACTGATAGACTGATTTCAGAATGTACTATTTCATGTATTCGTGTTAGTCGGTTGCAGTGCATTCATGACAAGACAGTTCAATTGGTGCTTTTTACTTAACGATAATTTGAAAATTCAGGAAGCCATTTGAAGAAACTGACTTAGAGATTTAGTAATTAGTAGACGTAACTAGGTTCATGGGAAGACTCCCTAAATGAAATTAGTAGCGCTATGTTTAAATGTATAGTAAATTTATATTTCAGTAACTTTAAAGTTTTCATTTCTAGGGAATCGAATTGAACTGTCAAAAGATTGAAACCATTTTAAAAATGTGTTAAACTTGTGGTTTAGTTTAAAATTAATCTGACAGAGGGCTGAAACTTGAGATTAAGATTCCCCATTACTTGCCTACAAACCTGGAATTGCTCTCAGGGCTGAAAATATATGGAGAGTTTCCAGAGCACTTAACTGCCATCTAGGCCTCCGACCAATTTTTCTTGATAAAACGTATCATCTTTCTGACAGCCTTAGAGCGCCATCTAGTGTACTACCGGTACATAACCACGACAAAGGACTTCAACTCCTTTTTTCCTCCACTCTCAAAAGAAAGAAAAATATTATTTTAGACAAACCTACAGACTTGACTTTGTTGAAGTTTATTGCTTTATAAGAACCTTTAACTTTTTTTCTCTTTTCCTTAAAACTAGGTGATATAGTACTCACTGTACCCGATTGTTCATTTTGAATCTGTGGTCAGCACCATAGTTAAAAGTGTTTACAAAACATTGTAGTCATTATGGGTTTTTCTCCTTAAATTGTGCTCGACAGCATGAAAAATAGGAGTCCAGGAAACCAGGGTTTAACGAATAGGCAAATATCAGAAGGCTGCCCCACACTATACAAACTCCGTTTTGTTGGGTCAAGTAGGCAATGCTTGATTGTCGCCTGCTGTCTTCGTAGAGTTGGAAGGCGCCTTGAACATCGGGCAGTCCAGACTCTAAGACTGTCCTGTAATCCCACCATGGGAACGTTCTTCCTCTCACCCATCATTAATTCTTTTCTTGGCAAACTCTTGTAAAACTTATCATCTTGACCTGGAAACCATCCTTAACTTTTACCGTCCTCAATTAAGTGACCCCGACCCTTTTAGGTTTCCTATAGTTCTTTGTGCATACCGTTCTCAGCACTGTCATACTACCTTAAATTGTCTGTTCTGTTTGTCTGTCTCCCCTTTTAGACTATGAGCTTTTTACACTTGATCTTAGCCAAAAGGCCAAGAAGCAATGACTGAGCTTTTCAATGGCAGGGACCATTTATTTATTTTTGTATTTCCAAACCTGGAACACAGTAGATATTCCATAAAGATGTATTAAATTATTTCTTTATTATTTATTTTAATCCTACCAAGAATGTATAATAAAAATAATTTATCATATTGTTAGTGGACAAGATTGTATTGAAATGCAATGTACAACCCATAGAATATATGGGAAGCTTGATATGAATGCTGACATGTGAATTATTCTTGTCTTCTCCAAAGCTGTGAGAGAAAAACAGGAAAGTAAACATTTTTAAAATTTTTTGAATAAACACTTGAAAATAAATTTAACCCAGAAATATCACTTATTATTTTTAATTATTGGGTCACCCCCAATCAGTTTTAAACATTATTTTGTTATATGACTAATCTTTAGGTTTTTTCAGTTCTGTACTATGAAAACAATTCTTTATAAACTAAGTTATAAGCTATGATCACAGTCTACACTAATGGGAAAATTTTGGATACCTTTTATGGAATGGGCTTAGAATGAACTGTACATTTATCAGACCAAGCCATTAGCATCTCAGAACATGTGCAGGTGGAGCAGAATGGAAGGAAGGAAGGGGTGTTTTTACTCAGAGATAAAATGTCATGTGCACCCAGTTTGTAAAAAGAGACAAGATTATTGGGGACAGAGGATTAAGGAATTTCCAGTTTTTTAAAAATACTTGACTAGCTCAAGATCTAGTTTTTTGGGTTTTTTTTTAATTTAGAAATCTTTCTCTAGTTGCCTCTAGTTTATAACAATCTTAGACCAGGATAATCATCAATAAAAATTTGCCTTAGAATAGTCATGTACACAAGCCTAATTTGAAAAATACACCCCTAACCGCTAATTTTCATCTTTGCTTTGACTTGATATGATATCTTCTTTCCAAAACTTTAAATGCCCTAGTAATAGTAATAAAAATAAGTTGAGGAGTAACACTAAGAAATGGCTTGGGAAGAATCATCCATAAGATTGACAATCACACATTTTTATTTAGAGTTGAAAGACCAAAACCATCAAATGGATGAAATTAGATCAGCAATGAACAAAGTTGATTAATTACAATAGCCAACGTTTATTGAATGCCTACTCTGCCCCAAGCCTTGTGCTTATGTGGGGGGTACTAGTACTCCATACCCATTTTATGCCTGAGGAAACTGATAGTTAAGAGAATGATCTCATGTATCAAGTTCAACCCTCCTCCCCAGCACCTATAAAAGTATGTAATACACAGTAGGTGCTTATTAAATTTTTATTTTGAACGAATTAAAAACTTCTATGAGAATGAGTAACTCAAACAAAAGAGCCAAGACTGTTCTTCAACTTCCCATTTTGAAAAATTTCAAACCCACAGAAAAGTAAAACTACAGGACAAAAAACTCTTACGTATACCCTTCGCCTAGATACACCAGTTGTTAACGTTTCCACATTTTCTTATTTGTTTTTGCTGAAGCATTTGAAAATAAGTTGCAGGCATGACATTTCACCCCTAAATACTTCAGCTTTCATCTCCTAAGAGTAAGTACACTCTCCTATATACAATATTTCTCATCTAAAATTTTTTATATTAATTCACTAATATCATCTAATTTACAATCCCTATTTAAGTTTAACCAATGGTTAACCAGAGTTAATCTGTTGAAAAGTAAAGACAAAGAAAACAATGAAAGCAGTCAAAGAAGACGGACAAACTACCTCTGGAGAAACAGTAATTAAACTGAAAGATTTTTTTTTTTAAGTCTTCTGAAATTCAAAGCAGCTAATTCCTTTCTTCTTAGCTGGATCCACCCTCCCCACAAAGCTCTGGATGCCTGTCTTCACAGGTGGAGGGCGACTTATTGGGGATGAAAAGTACAGTGGGAAGTGTTACCAGAAAGAAAAAAAAATCACCCATTCTATTGTTCCTCTACACGGTAAAACAAGGCAGGAAAAGGAAGAAAGAGTGAGAATGGTAGAGACTGAATAAGACCGAAAAAGGTCAGAG